CTGTGATGGTAAAGCCTCTGAAATGGCTTTTCCAAGAAAACCAAAAAACACTTCATATTATTCTTCAACTACCAACTCTCCTTAGCATAACATCATCTAAATAAATTTTGCAGTTGGCAATTCTGAGAATCCAAAAGTGTTATACCACATGACATTAAAAAGTGAAATCAGCTCTACAAATCTGATATACAAATGAATACATTTTTTCTTCCAACAGAAGGTTATATTTTAAATGAATGATGGTTAGAAGTGCAGTAAAGAAATTGGGTCCTAACTGTTCCCAGTTGCTGTTGTCAGAACATAATGGAGAGATGGAAGTGCAAGGCTGCCCCCTCTTCCAAAAATCATCTACAACATGCACAAAATTTCCCTGCCACAGAAAACGTTAAGGGATGGAAGAGGAAAGGGAAGGGTGACAAAGGAAAAGACATCTGTTAAAATCTGATAAAGGAAACTCTATTTTAAACAAAGTAAAGAAACTGATCGAAAGAGGACCAGACTCAGGACATAGCATTAAAAAAAAATCATTTGAATAACTATAATAGTTGAAGAAGCTTTAGAGAAAACCTACGCAAAAAAAGTGTGCATCTGAAAACAAAATCTTCTTTACCACAGTATTGTACAGATAATTTACAGAGAAACAGCTACTTCTGTTTCTCCGCCTGTCTCTTCAGCTGAATATGTACTCCCTTTATTGCTTAGCTGAATACTTAACTACGTCAATGCTGAGTTGTTTTCCTATATCATAATATTCTTGTTTACTAATTGCTCCTCAGTAGCTCCTAATATACACATACAATATATTTTTCAATCTCTTATCTATTTGTATTTTGTTGAACAAAAACTATGGAGATTTGGGCTGGAAGAATTGCTCTTCCACACTGGAAGGAGGCAAGTCCTTTACTGTTTTGGTCCAGATAACGTGGGTTGAGGGAGACTACTCAAATGAATATTTTCCATTGAGCAAATAAGAGTTTTGACACTAGTGTTTTCAGTGTTGTAGAGCATTAATGAGAGGATGGTATTGAGAGGTCCTTAGTAAAATTTAAAAAACAAGCTCTGAGTCACTGACTATGAATGCCGAGTTAGAAAAAATTCTTGGAAGGCAGTAAGTGCTGAACCTTGCAGAAGTGTCTGAAATGTAATGTCCTGATGCTTAGGCATTGTAGGTCATACTGAAAGACCTCTACACCTTTTTCATAATTCTATGTAAATTTGTGTCAATTGAGCTGTACCTACACTGGGACACTAAAAATAATGGCATATGCTGTACTCCAGTTCGTATTTTCTTGGCATCAAAACATGTCCTAGATCTCTGACTTCATTTGATGCTGAAGTGTAAATGCATCTCAATTTGACAAAAAGACAGTTAAATTTTACTATTCCAGTGCACCACCCATGCTTGCTATGGAGTCTGGAAGTCAAATCCCAAACTTGCTCTCTCTGAAAAAATTTTTGCAACTGCTTTTAAGACCTCCCACAGAAATCAGGAAAGAATTAATAGGCTGCTGAGTTCCTAGCATGCCCCACCCTATGGCACCTGAAAGAAGCAGTTGCTAGATCAACAGAGTATCTTGACAGAGTGAATGTCCTGAAGCCGAGAGAGCCTGCACCCTATTAAAATCTCCCTGTGGTGAAGGCCTGACAGAAAACAAGTGATTTTTCTGGCTGTCGGTGACTTAGGGTCCTTGCTCTTGCATGGGAGGAAAGTATTACCTTGTTTGTTTGTTTATTTCCTTGTTTTTAACTTCTACCATTGGAAGAGAATCAGCAGAATGCTGGACCCAGAAGGGGGGAAAGAATTTACGTTCTTCTAAGTTTATTTTGGATATCAGGAGACATACAGAAAGTGGAACTTCTCATGAAAAGCTGCTGGCAAACATGATTGTGGACTTGAAGGTGTTGGAAAGTAGATGGACCAAGTGAGAATTCACAAAGAAGCAATTTCAGAATTCCTATCGCATTACAAGGAGTATCCCACAGGGTTCCATCTTGGGACTGATACTCTTTATCATCTTTACCAGTGACAGAGAATGATGGGATTGCAATTTTGTTGATTACATACAAGTTTGTTGATTACACCAGGCTGAGTGGTGTGGTTGATACAGCAGAAGGAAGGAATACCATCCAGAGGGACCTAGATAAACTTGAAAGGTGGGCCCCTGCAAACTGCAGGGATGGTGAGGTGCTGAAACAGCTTGCCCAGAGAGCTTGTGGGTGCCCCATTCCTCAAGGTCTTTAAGGCCAAGTTCAATGGAGCCCTGGGCAGCCTGATCTAACACTTCATCTAGCAGCTGGAAATCCTGTCTTTAGCAGAGGTTGAAATGATCCTTGAGGTCCCATCTAACCCAAGCCATTCTATGATTATGCTACTTTGAAAAGGGACGTTCTAGGGCCATTATGGCCACACTGATTAACAACAATCATTCCTTAACAGTGAAAATAGTCTCTATACCTAATGTTGGATAGCAAGTTCCAAAGTGATCCACTTTCCTCAATGAAATAACAGCGCTGGTAACAGCCATGCCCAATTCCTCACCGATAGACACAAATATAGCAGGTTGTAGGACAGAGGGAAATACTCTCTTGTCACGAGCTGTTCGATAAACATAAAAGCATAGACCTGAAGTGGGTTGCTCTCAAACTGTTCATGGAGCTGTTTTGCATTGCATGGTTATCTGCCAAAGTTTCAATTCTTCTGCAAATAAATCTTTTGTATCCGTATATTGACTACATAAAACAAAAATGATGGGCCTCTGTTCCACACAGAATCTTGTGGCGTATTGAAGTGTTGGATCTGTCAATGCTACAACTACCTATACACAAGATTTTTTTTTTTTTTTTCCATTTATTTTATCAGAGACATTGCAGAAAGAAAAAAAAAACCAAACAAACCTCATAGTATTATAATCTAAAATAGAACATGTTCACCAGATATTCCCAAGGAAACATAATTCTCCTGAATGTTTAGAACCAGTATATTTGAAAGACTTGTGTGAACAGAGGTAAGACAACACACAATGCAGATGGGGTATATCAGAGATCATACCATAAAAAAATTCTCCAAGTTTTCAATGTATGCCTCTTGTTTTCTCAGCCAACTGCAAAATTAGCATCTTTTCAGAGTCTTTCAGAATTATTTAAGTCACTGAAATATGTGTCAAATTCAAAGCTGGTTCTGATTTACTAAGATCAAAAGGCTTTAGATCCAGATCTATTAAAAATATTTAAAAAATAAAAAAGTCTTTCTTCAAGCCCATTGTGCATTCACTCCTAGATATACAATAGGGCTTCTGTAATTCCTGTCGCATTTATTATTACATGTGTTAAGTGATAGTATGTCACGAAAAATCATAAACATCACTCAAAGAGATATACTGAAGCTGAAAGTAGGTTTCTGGACCTGCTAAAGCAGCAGTTCTGATAAGAGATCATATTCCGAAGAACAGTGTATTCTTACCTCATCACTAACATTTTCTTCCAAATGTTCATATGCCTTACCAGAAATTATTGTGGTTGAAGGAGGAGAGGGGAAGAGGGAAAAGGCAGTTGTTACTTTAAAAGCATTTAAAACTTCTACTTGCTTCCACATTTGAAAATTGCTTATGCCTGGAGGTTAGAGAATGGCTATTTCTACGCATCTGTTTTCTGACTTCATATTCATCCCCACCACCCTCAAATAATGTTTTTATGGGCTTCAGAGCAGTTATGAGTTGCTAATTTATAACAGCGAAGTACACATTTCAGATTACAAAGTTCTGGTCTTCACAATAAATCAAGGCCCTACCTGTTAAAAGGCAAAATTTCTCTTGCATTACTAAAAAGACGATAGAATGCTATACCAGACATATACAGTAAGCCCAGTAGAAAAAAGAAAACTACAGTAAAAATTCCCAAAGATGAAAACAGAGTCCCTTTGATATCACTTCCAAATGGCTGACTGCTAATAGATTTTCTGATCTCAGTAAATAGTGTAAATAATGAAATTAGATCAAGTTCCAAAGGGGAATAAGTAACATCACTTTTCTACATTTCAAGCTGTGGTGGCTGAATTCTTCTTGTAGAACAACAGATAAGGGTCTACTATCTTTACTCTGCATAAATTCCGTGTACCAAGACCATTCACTAAGTACAATAACATATTCAGAATTCTAAATAATTGTGTTTCAAATCATGACAAATAAAAGCTAACCGGAAAGTTTATAGGTTAGGTAATTTTGAAGATGTGAGAACTTGAAGTTAGGAAGATTCCTGGAAGGAGGATATTAGGTTATACTAAAAGCTACATAGTATTTATGAGTAAGATGCAGAGGAACTCTTCATATTTACAGCAATCTTGAACAAGAAGGGCTAGAAATAATTCAGAAACAGACAGAAGCTTACAACATACAGAAAGTTGACAGTTTCAGAAGAAATCCTATGTCAGCAGTGATTTGTGTATCTCTTAATTCAAAATTGAGTATTCCAGTACAGTAGAAGCAATGAATTTAAGGTTTGCCCTGGTAAAGTATTTCTTCAGCTACAATGGCTGGGTAAAATCTTTATAGGCAAATACTGGTGGAGTAGAGTGAACTACTTAATTTTGGAAAATTATTTATAGAGGGCTTCTTATCATAAAGGCATACCCTTAGAAACATCTGGAAAATATCAGACAGTGGAAAACGAACAATAAATCAAATAATCACAAATTCCAAACAGAATATGAAGTGAGGGAGTGAGGGATTAAGGATTCAGAGAGTTTGCGTTTATTGTTAAATGGTACAAGTTTCCATCAAACAGAGAATGCTCAAGAGCTGAGCACCTTTCTTACCTATCATGTATGTATTACTTGAAAACATACAGAAGATAATTGGATACTCTAAAACTGGATGTTGTCTAATCCGCCTTCCACTAGAAAGAAACAGTAATTGCAGTGATTCATTTTCTTTTTATAAAAAGATTAACAGTCTGTATTTCAGTAGCGAAAGCCTTCTAATTAAAATAAAGGAACTGAAACTTACTTACAGTAGAAAATACTGACATACTTAGGACATTATACATGTTATTGATAATAGCAATTAGCTTCAGAAAAAAAAAAATCATAAAGAATGCATAATTGGGATAGCAAGTTAAAAATGTGGATGCGTTACCCAAGTAGTTCACAAAATCCAGACTCCATCCTTCCTTTGGTGAAAAAAAGACATTATTACACTAAAACAGGCTCTAAGTTGATTAGAGAGAGAACATACTCTGAGAATGTGTTAGTACTGTAGAGAAAAATGTTTAGAAGTTCTTTATCTCATCTTTTATTCATGTTCATAAGTAGGTATAGGGAGCCACCCTTTGGTCATTATCGTAAATGCAAAATCAATATAGCATACTATGGATGCTGACAGTTCCCACCCTTAAAGGACTTTTGGTGACTCCTTTTAAGTTCACTGGTAACATTGACAAGTATCCCAGGGATTGTCACTGGTTTAACATCGTTTACAGTATGTACCTTATCTTATAGGGGTGACTGTGATGATAAATCTCTGCTCTTGTAGGTCTTCAAGCATGTTGTACACTGTCATCACTGCACTCTGTGACTTTCACGTTACTGATATGGGTCAACTTCCACACATTCTGAATCTGTAGCATTTTGCACTAAAATGATGATTAAATGGGAAAAAAAAAAAAAAAAAAAAAAAAAAAGTAGCTTAGTAGACTTAACTTTTGAGAGCCAATAATTGAATAAATGAAAAAAAAAAAAAAAAAACTTGAGTAACAAATCACTTTCTCATCTCAGTGGCTGATAGACACAGACCAGTGAAAATGAGACTAACAAAAAGAAAAGGCCAACAAAGTGTTATCACATGATTTCATCCAAACAGTCTGGACTCTGATGTAGGACAAAACACTCAAATAATGGAAAAAATATTCAGGCAAAGAAAGTTCAGCTGACAGGGCAGAAAGAGAAATCTATGGACATTGGCCAGGGAGATTAAACTTAAGCTCCACATAACTCTTATTTCACATTGAAAACCACAAACCATTCCTGGAAAGGAAGAAACTATTATGCTCTCCCTTATGCTTGATGTGAGCAACCTTTCTAAACACTTCTCTATTTTATGGGAACGGACTAAAGTTCCCAGAGTTTTCCATTTACCTTTCCCTCAGGACTTAGAGGCTGTTGTTCTTCCTGTTATTCTTTCTTTCAACTTGGGATCATCCTTTACTATAGTCAGCTGTTACTGGCTAGTATCAAGCAGACTCAGTCCATGAAGATGAAAAGTGGATATGCAAGTACTGGATAACCAAGCCACAGCAGGAAAGCAGTAGTTCTAAATTTGGATACAGTCTTGAGAACACCAACTCTAAGAAACTTAGGCAAACTGTAAGCTAGTAGGTGACAGAAACAGAAGAAACAGATAGGAAATAGCCATCAGCTCAAAATGAAGATAGTTAGCAGAGACCAAAATGAGGTTACTAGTTTTCTTCTGTCTTGCCACTTTCTATCAAACAATTTTAACAACCAAGTAAATAGTTACTACAAGCAGGATATTTGTTCTTCTTCACACCTTCAAGAGATCTCACCAACACTGCCACACCACAAAAACCAGGTGTCCCTATATGATCAGCATTCCTACTCGGGTGTTGTCTTGGGGAATGAAGACACAAGCAGGTAGAACAATCTCTCCAAGGCCACACGGTAAGTTAGAATGTGGATATCAGGATAACACTGAAGAATTTTGTAGCTGGTAAGATCAAGTATATCTTACCAGCAGATAAGTGTAGAGCAACTTACCTACACTTCAACTGTTGTTTTTCAGATGCTTTTCTGTCCATAAAATAGGATTTTTTCTCCCCACCAAGAAAGCAAACACAGCACACAAAATCACTGAACATTTCCAATGGCTAAAAAGCAGCTATTAAACTACTCACTGCTAGTAACTCTAAACCATTTTTTCCTTGCCCAGAAGGGCAGAAACTGTTCAGCAACGTCTTATGTGGAACATTACAATGTTGGAAAGAAAATAAAAAGGGCAAAGGACAGCCATTACAGGTAGGATTTTTTCTCTGATTTACAATATCCATTGCCTATTTTTCTGTAGTTATTTTTGCTTAAAAACCATATTCATTTCAGCATATAGTTATACAGTCCACTTAGCTTAATTAGTTTCATACTACTCAAGTCAACATCAGTTTTGATTTGCTACTGTAGCACAGTTAATTGCCATTATTGATAAATTTGCTCCACAGATTGACTGCACTGTCTGATTGCATTTACTTTTCTTTAGAAAAGTTTGCAACTGCATTTATGCAGTTTAGAAAACCGTATTTTCCTTCTCTACATTTGAGCAGGTTCTCCACATTTTTGCACGGTCACCTAATTATCAGAAGCTGAAACCAAACAAATACATAATTCTGATTTCAGATGGCCTCTCATGAAAAAGACCACGTTAAAAGCACCATATCACAGCTTTTATAATAATGCCTGCTCTACAAAATAGATGAGTTTGAAAGGATTAGACATACTAAACTGAAAGTCTGGAAATGGGAGTTCTTCACAGATAATTTGCCAGGTGAGAGAATGCCACAACTCAAATAAGATTTCCTCCACTATTATTAATCTGAATTTAATAATGGATTATAGTAGGGTAGCATACACGTAAATGAAAAGGGAGGAAGTAAAATAATGTGGATGAAATAATTTATAACCAGACAATAGAACAGTGCTTATATTTATTGTAAAACACTTATAAAAGTTAAAAACAAATCACTTAAGAATTTTAGGAAAGTCACCCTATTTCTTCATTGTAGAAAAGCCATTTTTTGGTCTGATGCAACTGTCATAACACAGCAGCAGCTCAGTGCATGAAGTTTTCAAAGGAATGAAAACTAACAAATAGACAAAGGCTAAAACTCGTGAAATTCATGCATACAGATGAATGGCAGACACTATTTGGGGCTTAAGCATAACATGCTCTGCCAGACTGCAAAAATACCACCCAGAAGGTTAATTCTGGATATTCAAAGTACCTTGGTTAGTGTCCACACTAGACAAACAGAGTTTCCTGGAATTTTCTATTTGGGTTGCTATACATGATCAGAAGCATCAAAGTTATGCACCTAAGCACAAAATGTGTGAGAGATAACTGTCTGATAGTTCTTTTAGCTTCAATTTATTTCAAGACCATGGAAAAGATGGGAGTTAAAAGAACCTTGAGGGAACCATTGCAGTCTTTCCCTTCTCTGCACAACAGGCATCCATTTTCAAAAGTCAATTCAGATTCCTGAATTTCAAAAGGGGAAAAAAATATCTCCCCTTGATAGGAACACATTCAAGTGAATAACATATCATCATTTCGAGAAAGAGCTGGCACAAAATCAACATCAGTGCAATCTGTTCAACATATACCTAATCCGGTTCTCTCTTTCCCAAAGGCTGCAGTTGTGAAACCTTCCCATGATAACAACCAAGGCCTTCAGGAGGAAGGAACCTGTCAGCTCCAAAAAGAAAAGAGTCTCAAGCAATACGGAGAATCTAGGAAACACAAATGAGAATCTATGGCGGCTATCCCCTTACGTTCTTTGGAGAAACTAACAAACTTCAGGTAGCAAACTGGTTATATCTATCAGGCTACTGGTAAAACAAGAAAATCAACATCCACATGCACCTGTTAGAGCTGGTGTCATAAGGAAGTTGTTTACAAAATGAACCCTGCCCATCAAGTGATTCAGTCTCTTCTTTTGCCCTAGGTGACTGTTATCAAGCAGTAAGTGCCTGGTGCAGATTCACGTCAGTGTGTACTCATGTATATCTTCCTACAATGCAGCTTGTTGCTAACACCTGTTTCTTTGTTTCTATAATTTGATTTTTAATATTCAGCACTGCAGAAAACAGGATAACTAAAACTGAATATCTTCTGGAAGATGAGCGAACTCCTTCATTTGAATTTGCAGACTTTTTACCTTTGTCATAATGGCAACCATAAATTCTGCTAACTGCCATTAAAGCAGTGTGTAAAATCCAGACAGAAACCTCAGTCTCCAGGTAATTCTTCCCAGTCCCTCATGAAGCATTTTATGAAAAAAAAAAAAAAAACAGGGGATGTTTCTTGGTGATATCTACTTGCTAGAACCCTTGAAACTCTCACTTGTGACTGTAGAAGAGAGAATAACATGAGAGTGTAAGCAATTTTTAACATTATGCGTTCAACAGAAAACAGTTTGTGTAAAAATTGTATTTAAAAAAAATTCCTTTTTTGATTTCTCTTATATAAAGTATTTTACCTAGCATTTATTTTATTTAATGATATTCACTTTCACCATGTCTACTCTCTCTTCTGCGTTGTCTATAATGATGGAGAATAAAACGAGAATAACCAGTTTTGCCTTTGGAACTATATCCTTCATTAGTTACCAACATAAAAATTTATGTTTAAGTTGTAAACAATATTTGGTGAAATTTAAATACAAAATAAAGGAAAATTAAACTGAAACCTTAGAACCATTTCTAGAGCTATTGCTCTTAATAATGGATTTTGAAACCTTTTAAGAGAAGAATCTGTATTTTATACCTATGTTATGCAATCACATAGGTATTACATTCTGAAACTGGAATTACACAGAGGGAGTAATATGTCTTCTGAGAATGATTAATGAGCTGCAAAGAAAAACCTGATGCCATTACACATCTCACACATCAGGCAAATACATAGAACAGATCAGTATGTTCTGTCCAAAGGCTGGAAAGCGTCTCAGTGACTCCCAACTGTCTGTAAATATATTGTACTTCAGAAAAACACGGTGCTCCAAGCTCGTAGATAGAGTAATATCCCTACTCAATATATAAACTCCATCGTTGTGTAGAGTGCAAGTCAAGTTAAGACCCGACTTTGATGCGTTCTCTTTGAGGTAGAGCCATTCTTTGGTAGCAGTGTTATAAGACTGCACAGTTAACACATCTTCACTTTGGCTGGACTTTTGGTTTGGTGCAAGTTCATGAATACAACCTCCTACTAGATAGATCGTTTCTTCAACAGAGACCATCTGTTGTTTCCGAACATGGACATCACAGAGTTCAAAGTTGGTCCAAGAATCAGAAGTAGGACAGTATTGCAAGATGTTCATATTCCTGTCTGAAACAGAGGAGAGAGATTTACAAATAAATAAATGGCACTTATGGAGGAGTATTCTTTCTGTTCATGAACTGTACTAGCCATTATTATGGACAGTGCAAAAGGGTAAGTGACAGGGAAGAAACAGATTACTGAGAACTGTGAGTCTTTGTCCCTAGTGATAAAGCTAGGACATTTTATTCTACCATAGCAGGAAAAATTCAGCTGCTGCTGTCCTATTGAATGATGCAAATGATCTGGTAAAGTACACTTTAGCAGCACAAATCCTAGCTATTACCTAATAATTGTGATTTTGCCTCTGATTGACATGCAAGATATTTTTAATGAAAAGGTAAATTTGAACAACACTCTGCTTGGTGATCACAGATAAATCAAATTATCATAATAATTGTATGCTTCATTAATAGCTGTCAAGTGGCGATTTATCATCCAAGCTGAACTTTGCATTTCAATCCACAAATCAAAGTTTTAGAGAATAACATTCATAAAGCCAGCTATATTCCATCAAGAGGCATGGATAACCTAAGGGCTCATTTTCAGTACCTCATAAAGAGAGAAATGCACTAGGTCAAACTCATTTAGAGACCAGGTAATCCATGCAACAGTACCAAATGAAAGTAGAGAGAGAAGCTGAAGTCCTATCTCTGCTTCAGCTACAACTCATTGGATGTGTTTGCAACACTGTTATCCTGCAAAATTGTTACACTACCTCCCTGATTTTACTGCAGGGTAGTCCAGGGCAGCATCCTCATTGAAGGCTTCACTAAATTAACAAAGAATGCACTTGAGCTTTTAGCTAGTAAATTCAGTTTCAACCTCCAGAGACCAGAACTTAAATACAAACCCAAGTGACAAGTGGTAACAGGCTTGCAGACTCCAGTTTGGTTTTTCAATAAAATCCGCTCTGTATTACAAGCTATTCTGCGCAATGACCTCCAGACGAACTCCAAAGTGGAACAGCAGATGGTGACACACTAACAAGTTATGTAAGAGCACAGGTATAGATAGCCATAAATATAACTGTCATAAATGAAGTTCATGAGCAGCATGGCTTTGCAGGTGCTGCTACAGCATTTTCTTGCACTGTAATGACCTTTGGTCATTGCTTATTACTCATCTTCCTGTACACTTAATCCACATTAAATAAAGAAAAAAATAGGAAACATATTAACAGTGCTATATAAAAATGCTGATCAAAAATCCACATATAAATGATCTTTGCCTATAAACAATGAATAATTCCCTGACTCATTAGGGTGGCAAAAAAAAATTCCAACATTCCTGGAAACATTAAGTTCCCATGTCTTTCCACAGCAGTAAACTTCTGAGGAAAAAATGGGATGCTACTATTTGAGACAAGGCACATGAAATGGAACTCTGTGATGTAGCCCTCATTTACTCAGTACATAGCCCAAGTTTTTTTTATATGCACAGGAAAACAAAAACAAAAAACAAAATGCTGTATGAACTGTAACAAATATTTAAAAGTCTATATTGTTTATATTGTGCTTTTCATATTTTTCCACAAAGGTCTACCTGTTGAGACCTTTCTTTCTACTCTATGACCAAAATCTAAGAGGAGGAGGACTAAGCTGCATTCTGCAGTACCAACTGGTCTATTTTATCAAAGAGCAGAGTTGCAGGTTCAAATACCAGTTAGTCATATGGGAAATTACAGACAGCTATCCAGTTTTCAAGTACCTATGTTTGGCATGCAGAATTACAGCTCCTAGGTACAGACTGTGAAAAAACCCACAACCTGATGCCAGTACAACAGAACTAATTTTTTTTTTATTTCATTTCACAGGTTTGTTCCATGACACTAGTTGAAAATAATAATAAAAAAAGCTTTCTACCTCGTGTGGTGTATCCTCCAATAACGTAAATCTTGCCCTTGCACTCACAAGCTGAGAATTCTGCAAGAGGATTTGGCATGGATGCTACAAAACTCCACCAGTCATTTTCTGGGTTATAGCACTCCACATTGGAAAGGGATTGACCACCAATGGCATAGAGTTTTCCATTTACAGCCAACAGCTTAAAATTTGACCTGAAAGACAAAGATCACAGCACTGAAATAGGTTAAACAAATGTACAGAAAAACAGAAGAAAGAAACTTCTTCCCAATCAGGCTCCAACACATTTATCATCACATTGTATCAATTAATATTTTACAGAATCTGAAGCGTCCAGTGCATGTCCAAAATTCTGTAATTACACTTTAATTTTTCAGGACAGCAAACAGTGACATTTTGATATAAGCGATGCTGATGCTGAGACTAATTAATATTTTATTTTGGATTTCAGTCTATGGCAGTTTGAGCTGTAAATGTTTCGTTAACTAATCTGTTTGGTAGATGACTCATTTTTAATACTGAAATACATTTTACTGAAGTACCTTTAGCACAGACAAATATATTATGTATACAAACACAGTCAAGAAGATTATTTCAGTTAAAATTACAGAAATTTCAAACAGGACTATCAAGCGTAGGAATGCATACACATTCTGTTATACAGTCTCTTTAATAACCTCAACAAATAAAAATGTAATGTGGTAAACACTGAATTGCATCCTGCAATAGAGAAAAGAGAAACTCCTGTACCTCATTTAGCACTAATTTAGACTGCTAAAGACACTTTCCATCCCAATGAAGGAAGATGTATCTGTAAATTAATGTTCCATTCATAGCTGAACAAAATACACTGCACTTCATAGACGATGATCTGTTTTTATTTCTTATTCTACTTAATTAGTTTGTTATCTTTTATCCATAACAAAGGGTAACAGCCCAGTTACTGAAGTGCAAGAAGCCTTACGTCTCACAGTTTTAAGTCAATATAGAAATAAGTAGTCTGTGGATAGCAGAATGCAAGCATGGAGGATCTGAAGTTCAATCTGTCCCTTTTGGCTGTGGAAGACGGTCTCATAAAGTCTTTCTTCAGAAACAGTCCTGCTCACAAGTCTATGCCATCGTCTAAGCAAGGTTATTCCTTCTGTACTGCCCATCTCAAGCCAAATCCACGAGATTTTACCACACAGTATCCTGATTAACTAAGTGCATGAAAGTCATTGGTGTGCAACAGATTAACACAAAAACAAATGGGGAACTGCATTATATCTGCAAATCTGTGGTGCTTTAGCACTGCACTGGCCTGCTGAGCTGTAAAGTAAATTTCATTCCCCATGAATCCAAGATCAAAAACTTACCACCAAGCAGTTTTGCAGGGTTTTATCTGGACAAAACAAACCTCTAGCTGCAGACTGTTCTGCAACTTCTTTTCATTAAATGTATTCGGGGAAAAAAAAAAAAAAAAAAAAAAATTGTTTCCAGATGGAATCATTCTGTTCCTGTCATCCTGAGAAAGCTTTGAAAACTAAAAAGATTCTTTGAAGGAATTAATTGCCCTTTTTTTTTTTTTTTTTTTTTTTTTTAATGGTGATCAATTGTGGGCACAAAATGAGGATAATCATTTCAAAAACATAATTATTTTTAAAGTAATCTATCTCTTGTAAGACTTATGATGGAGAAAAAAAGTCCATAAATTAGCAGAGACAAAAAAGAACAAACAAACCACCACCACCACCACCAACAACAACCCAAACCATAGTAAAACTTCATTTTCCAAACATCCTTTAAAATCAACATTAGAAAGTCTGCAACTTTGTGTCCATGATGGAGATGGTACAGGGTTTTTGGCTTACAAAATGAGTTCGTACACACAGAGACGGTGTTTCATTATTAAAATTTTCTAGTAACATTTAATATGCTAATTGCTGCAAAAGTAATGCCTCCTGTTTATTTCTGTAGAACTGCAATAGATTCAAAGAGAACAATAACACTATTTGACAGAGCAAATTCTCAGCTACTGAACACCTTTTTTCAACATGGTCACCACCACTAACTATGCGCTCTCCAGCAATGAAAAGGAGCATGCATGCTGCACGTATATGGATTTTTATCCACACCAACAGAAGTGACACACTGTTGCTGTCACCACTGCTGAAACACACCACTCACCACCTCACCGTGCTAACATCCATTGTTTGGTCTCCATACGTTCAGCAACCCTCAATGGATGTCAACTAGGTGCCATTTTTTCCTGTGTGGAGGAATTCAGTTTCACACCTCTGTTTCATAGGCACTTCCATGCCAGATGCCATTTTTTCAAACTGTTTCCTTGCTGCCATCTGTCACACGGCAACAAAATTTAATGGCCTATTATCAGGAAGGTTCAACCTGTATAATGTCTCTAATATGAGACATTACTTTCAGAGTAGCACTTGTACATGCTATAACTTCTAGAAGATAAGACATGAAAAACAAGTGTCCAAATACATAAGAATTCAGGTTTCCTAATTGACACTCACTTCTCTGGCAAGCCAATAATTTTAACTCCTGCTCGAGTGATTCAACCACTTCCAACATTCATTAAAATGGATGACAATCAGTGCAAGTATCTCAGATTTATGGGATATGTTACTCAAAAGCTGCAACAAGTACCTATTAGCACGCTTTACATGAATGTTTGGACAACAGCCCAATACGTTATGAAAAACAACTCCCATTCACCTTTCCTTGCCAGTAACAGCAGGTGTTTTTATGGAGAGAGAATATTAAGAAATACTTTGTGTGTTTTTACACTCTTAATGTGGTGGAGAAGCTGGAAACAACAACAACAAACATGGAGCCAGCTCTCTATAACAAGCTCTCCGTAACAAGTGTTCCATGGACTACAGCTTGGAAACAACCAAGCTTAAAAGTTTGTCAGATTCAGCCGTGGTAACTCCACTCACTTATGTGAGTTACCTAAACTCAGGAACATGAAATACTCTCTAGTGATTATCCCTTCTTGTTGGGACATGGCTACGTCTTCTAAAGATGTTCATTTCCTCTTGAAAGTTGTCCCAGGAACACAATCAAGACCAGGTTCTACAGCAGTTCAAATTACAACTTTTTTCATTCATTAAAAGAAGTGCAGAGTGCTTCATGCAGGAAGGAAAAAGAATCTAATGTACAAGGACCAAACAGTCGGAATGCATAACTTTCCAAACATTTTGTGAAAAGTGTAGGTTGCTCAGGATTGCATTAACAACCATATAACCTGTCTATAAGAGACCACTGGCTATGAAGAAGAGAGCAAGTCCTATTTTGTTCACTGACAGTGACTTTACTCATTTAGTATATAAGAAGTTAGCTTAGAAATTTGAGAGGATTTTCTGATCAGGGAGGTAGCTAAGTATGGAAATAAGTTACTTCCAAAGCACTTCACATTTATTGCATGAACTATTCTTTATACATCCTTTATATGACTGCAGAACACATTGCTTCCATACTTGAGCTTTGGAAGCACGGATGATATATTTGCGATAGATGTGACATGTATATTTTTTACCTGAAAATTTTTGGAAAAAACTATTTTCACCCCCAGCAAAGTGCAATTTTAAAGGGGAAAAAAATGATTAAAAAAACCCACACAAACAAAGAAAGAGGAAGTCTCCTAACCCATTACCAACCCCTAGGAACATTCTCTCTTGCATTCCTGTAAGAGTCCCCAGAGTGGCAGCAGTTCAGGCAGAGATGGCTCACAAAAACCATATTCAAAGTGCACGTATATAATCTCAGCCAGGGGCTTAAAAGGGTCTTCCAAGACTAGAAGATTTATCTGCCATGAGAGTGCTGAAAGAAAATAAACATGAAATACACAGCTGTGACTGGAACATGCAGTAGAAATCCTATATTATTTCTACATGGTCAATTTAAGCTACTAGCATAAGAAAGAAAAAAAAAGAAAAAAAAAAGAGTATGGAAAGGTACTGAAATACATGACTTGAACCTCAAATTTCCTTATTACCTTCCTATCCCCAAAGACCCCAAGTAGTCTTAGGCAACCTTTACATGAAGTTTCTTCCTCAAAGAAGTCCATGTAGTTCTCTGAAGACACTACTCCAAGCACAGCAACATCTCTAGAATGAAAAAAAAATTAGAGATCTAGAAACTATGGTCTGTTAGGGATTAGCTATGGCTGGCATCAGATTTAGCCTCAGATGATGAGAAATTCTTGGCTCAGACACCAGCTCCCCATGAACCTGGGCAAATTATTTTATCTAATTTTTGTACGTAAAAAAAGGACATAATATTTTCTCGAATTTACATGGGCATTGCAGGAATAATATATGGGAGCTACCTATTATAAACAAATTTAAAATGATTGTAGTAAAATCCCTATGCCTAGAAAGAACTAAAAGCTACAACACCAGCCAGAGTATTCAGAATACATCTGACAGTTTTTTTCTATATAGAGGTAAATTGGGAATATTTCACCTATGCATGCATAATGGATCCCAACATCCTCAGTTTCTACATTATAATAAAGCAAATAGTTAAAGAGTTAAAGAGTTAAAGTTAAATTTTAGGATTCACAAGTTCTTTGAGGGCAAAATACTTGATTCAAATGAAATAAACACAGTTATATCCATAACTATATCCATAACTCTTATTCTTCTCATTCTTCTCTTAAAGCCAACACATGGTTCCAGTCACAAAGGCCAAATCTAAATACTGCTAAAATGCTGTCTGAAGTCAAACCCACTTCAGTGAGAAGTAGAACTTTCTCTCAAGGTATGTAAAAGACACACCCACAATATGTAATTGTATCAGCTGACATCAACTAACTTGGTAGACAGCCAAACAAGCCAATCACCTAAGCAGTATACTAGGCAACTGCCCTGCTTGTTTTTACTGCAGCACAACAAACTAAAAATGCAATATCAAGCAAACTACATCTCATCTAATCAGCAGACTGGAATCAGTGCTGCTCCTGTTGAATGTAAACACTGAGTACAAAAATTCCTTTCCCCTTCTTATCTCCCATAGCACAAGCCATCCTTTTTTGGATTTTGGCCACAAGCTGCTCAGCTGGTCAATCTGGTAGTTTCAGAGAGTTGAAATGTTAGGTTAGAGAAGCTAAAAAAAGAAAAAAAAGACTTCAGGGTTGAGACTCCACAAAGATGTTGAAGTTAACAAGTTTTATGATGGGATTAGTAGAGTTTCCATGAAAAAGATTTCCCCTACTCTTTATCCATGAAGCTACATCCTCATTAGCTGCCATCCAGCCTAGAAGGCAATATGATGTTTGCCCCTTTTAGCCTGCAATTGCCACACTGAAATGTAAGACTGGTGACTATTTCAAAAAATCTATTTGCATGCTCCTTTTCCAACATAAATTGCCAATATGAAATCCCATGCTGAGTAACACCTGCCAGGTGTTATGGGCTTAAAGATTGTTGGCAAGGTAGTGCAGATGAAAATATTAATAAAAGGAGAAATCAATCATTTATTTCTTTCATGTAATGACTATATATCCTAGAAAAAATGGGAAAGTGTGAAAGCAAAAGGCTCATCTAGAATTTGAACAGTCAGGTAATAAAGTGGAAAAAAAAAAAAAAAAAAGGGGCCTTTAACAATACATTTTTAAAACCTCTCTCATTTGCCATGCTGCAGAGTTATTTCACATAGTAACACCTACCTTGTTATGGACACCATGCAAACCAATACCAAAATTCATAATTTGATCAAAACAGGGCTTCTACACGAGACACTGATTGATTTGATCTGTCATTCTTTTCTACTGAGTCTAACGTGCTTTCTGCAATTTTGGCAGGCAATGCTGTATAGACCAGGCCTACCAAAACAGCTCAGTCCCCAAAGGTGCCTCCAGAGATTACTGCACGAAATACACACACAGAAAGAGGTGTTCACAGCGTTTAAAAGCTAAGCACCTCATAGCAGTTATTTGTACAGTGTCTTCCCAACAAACCAGACACACCCTATGTTTCCAATCAATTCCAATGACTGACCAGGTAGGCAAAATTTCAGCGAATTTCTCACAATGATAAACACAGGCAGTGAAAGAAGCTTGAAGTAGGAAATTGTTCATTTTAGGTCGAACCTCTGTTTTTGAAGCATTTTAGCATGCAAGCTCAACTGGAAGAGAAATTACAGATTTACTACACTAATTCAAAGCATTCATGCCAATGGTTGGGGTCTCTGGCTGCTACTTCAATTTGCTGGACAGAAAAGAGAATTTTCATTCTTAAGCAAATTCTAGACTCCTTACTTACTTCAGCTCTGATTCTGATACAGAAGAAAAAAAAAAAATTAAACACTTTTTTTTCTAAAATGAAATACCTAGAAAATTTATTTTTGATGTTTTGTTTCAGTGAAGCAAAAGCCTGTATTTTGATGACTCTTCAACACAACTAAGACCGAGCAGCCACAGCCTTTCCTGGGGAGAAGGACTCTTCTTGGGTCTTCATCAACACTAGCTCCCTAAACAAGTTTCTGAATAGCAACTTCATCAGAAACATTAAAAGAAAAATAAATAAATAAATCAAGATGCTGAATGTTTACTAGGTCCAAATAATCTCATAAATTGAGAAATTTCTGACTATCTTCCTGCCATTTTTTTCTGGCAAACACTTCACAACAATGCAGACCTACGAAACAATGAGATTTTTATAAAAGTACAAACTAACAGCAATCTTTTTCAGCAATCCCTAGCTCTGATGGACTGAACACCTCTATTATGAGTAGTAAAACTTCTTACCACGTAGAGCACTGAAGCTAAAATTTACAAAAAACCAATAGATTTTTCTTTTGTGTTGTTTTGTTATTTTAAATAGAATTTCAACTACCAGTACTGATGGCTGTTTGGAGAGAACGGAGCTCCTAGAACACTATGATTTAAAGGAAAAATGGGAATCCACCATTACTTTACACAGAGGTGAAAGTGACCACATATGGCAGATGGCCACATCTCAGTCCTCAGCTGATGCCTAATTCCCATTTCCCCACAGCTGTGGCTTCAATCACCTGCATTTGCTCACAGTCCCATTCTCCTCACCCTTCCTATAGCAGCACCCTGTGCCACATTCTAGGGTCACCAAGAAGCAGAGAGGCTGCTCAGCTGTGCCACAGCTGGGGGGCTGCTGCCAGCAAAGCCAAAGCCTTTAGACTGCCATGCTACTGTGAAACCCTTCAGTCCTTCCCATCACACGGTGCAAGAGACAGCTCTGAATCACTACTTGTAAGGTTGCGTCTGTCCAACTCCAGGTGACTCAGCAGTCTCTGTTTTGAAAACAGACAGGGACGCATGTGCACACCAGGGTGCAGAGGTTACCTCTTCTGGTTCATTGAAGCCAGCTGACTCCACTCATTTAGGCAAGGGTTGTAACAATGGGCAGCTGAGATTTCCTGACTGGTGGTGATCCGGTACCCCCCAATGATGAAGAGATAGTTGTCCAGCATGGCCGACCCATAGCCTCGCACGTTCACCAGATCTGGAGGTAGGTTGTTAGCCAGGGGTAGCCACTGCTCTGCTTCCTCGTTGTACCTCAGCATGGACCACGGGGCCTCTGGCTGTGGATGACAGCCTGGGGACAGGCCCAGGGATGAAGTACCCATGAAGTCCCCAATGGCCACCAGAGTGGCAGTGCCTCTCATCCGCCTCTCCTTCAGGTGCTGTTGAAGAGCGTGAGGCAGATGGAGGTGGGTATCGGGCCTGCGCAGCACCTGGTGGTAATGGGAAGCCATGAAGTCCAAACAGGCATCGTGCAGGTCCTGCAGGCCATAGACCTGAGCCAAGTGGTGTAGCTCCAGACAGTTGCCCAGTCGCACCTGGGAGAGCAGCAAGCGCAGCAGGGGAGTGACCTGCAGGTAGGAGGCAGCCTCCACCAGCTCCTCCAGCAGAGGGGGCTCCTCCTCACCCTCCTGCTCCAGCCAGGCCAGGCAGGAAGTGTTGATGAAGTCCAGCACCAGCTCGAGTCCCAGCGCGCTCAGCCCTCCGCGCAACAGCTGCTCTTCCTGGCCCTGCCCTGCCTCCCGCATGCCCGAACGGTACAGGGCTCGGAAATAGTCGCTCTGTTCGATCAGCTTCCTCTTGCACACCGGGTAGCACTTGTCCCCCAACCGGATCTGAACCACTTCCTCCCCACCGCCGACTCCTTCCCCCTCCTCTTCCTCCATTCGCTGTCGCTCCGCAAGGGACATCGCGACCCCCTACAACCCAACCCGGCCGCTGCCGGCCCCAGCCGGCTCCACCTCTGCCCCGGGGATCGCTGCCGGGTAGGAGGAGCTGAGGCGGAAAAAAAAAAAAAAAAAAAAAAAAAAAGCCCTAAAAAGGGAACGCCGCTGTGCTCAGCCGCCTTGCTCCGCCCCCGTGAGCCCGCTGCTGGCCCTCTGAGAGCCCGCTGCAGGGTGGGGAGCAGCTGCTCGCCTCCTTCTCACACTGCCTGAATTGGGCTGGTCGCGCTGCCCCAACCCGCTGCCATAAATGTCCCTGTGGTGAAGCCCTACAGCGGGGGGAATGTTCTGGAACGTGGGATGAAATGCGTGTGACCCTGAACAGCTAAGGGGTGGCGGCAGCGTGATTCGCTGCTGTTCTGCGTAACAAACACAACGAAAAGAAACATCTTTCACTTCTAGTTCCAGGATTTAGTAACTCTTATTGTGCTCCTCTTGTACAGGTACCAGCTCCTCCTTTGGTGTATAGAGGCACTATAACCTTTTCTGCTATTCTGTCTTTTCTATTTAAGCTAAGTTCCAGGAATAGGAAATACGTGTTAGTCACCAGAATCATCCCCAAGCAGAGCCCTGATCTTGTTTGAATAAGTAACCAAGGAGTTAATAGCTGAGCATCTAGCTTCATGTTTAAAGTGGCTGCTCTGGTGCTGGCCTTGTGCATGAAGCACAACGGAAGTGGTTGTTTTTTCTTTTTCTTTTTTAAACTTCTGAAACAGGTGATGCTGTAATAAGTACTCTTACATAATGACAATTAATATAAAAGGCTTTAACAATCTATTCTCCTTTATATATATATATATATCTATCATTTTCATTCTATGCATTTCTAGTCTATAGAGTTGTTTTTTTCCTTTCAGCATTAACGTGACTTATCTCCAGTTACTGCAGATTCTGTAGATCTTAGGTAAATCCCTTCTTGCTCTGCTCATTTCTCCCAGTTGATAGAACTCTTCAGAATGTCTGGGTTTGGTTTGGTTGATTATTTGCTTGTTGTTTTTTCATTTGTTTTAGAAAAACAGTTGTTTGCTTTTTAGAATTTCCTCTGAGAAATGATCCTCTCTCACTTTTTTTTTTTTCTTCAGCTACTTTATCCTAGTCCATACAGGTGATATCAATGCCAAGCTCAAGGTTAAAGGTGTTATTTTCTGCCAACTTTCACAAAAGCATGTATGTGTTGAAGTAGGGTAGATTTCTCTTCATTTTTATTTTCCATCTCAGTTCAAAAGCAAGATGATGCAAGTGCTTTAAATGGCCTTTTTTGTGATATGAAATCCTTTCAGTCCCAAAGCAATTTCAGCAGTTTCAGTGATATCATTCACAACAAGCTGAGGTTCCTACCTCTTCAGAAGAAATCCAATCTATACATCCTATTGCACTATAATTCCCAGAGCCAGACGTTTCAAGTCATTGTAATGGTTAACATCCTACATGTAAACAGAGAGCTCATGCCTGTTAAGGCCATTAAGATTCCCTCTGGAATACAGTGTGATTGCCAACATGGTGGTATGTTTGCCATCTTTAGACATCTGGTTTGGAATCTCATATGTTTGATGTACTGGCAAGTTAGCTACTAATTGGTGAGTGATTTTTTCCATGTAGTGAGTTATGATAAGTTCTGTTCCCTTCAAGTAAGAACACCAGCACCTAGATAGTATATTTCTGCTGCTGCCTTAGTGTCTTCCTGTGTGCTTTCACCTGTCACTCTGCTAGGGATTTCAAGCTCACCTTCCATGAGGTTTTTATTAGACAGCATTGCTTCTGTAATGTACTAATAGATGTGAGTACTTTCTTCCCACCACTTCTGAGAGTGCTGACTTCTGTAGTTCTCATTGTAGGAGTTGCCATATGCACAGTGAGACAGCAGCACTCCTTACTAAGTAGCCACTTGTGCAGAAAGCCTAAATCTGTTTCCTCAATCTATGGTTTTTCCTAGACTGAATCTCAGCTACCTATGTTTTTATCCATGCTTTAGGACTCGGCAACTGTGTTAAGTCAGAGCACACTGACAGGGTAGATCTTCTGCTCTCTTACTATATTAATCTGCGTGCTGTGTTTACGTGGTGCTAATGCTGCAGTTGTATCAAGGTAATGACTGCCTTTTTGTTCCACATTTGTACACATAATTTGATCTGTCTCCCAGTCCACAGCTATACTGTAGTATATATAGGTATATATATATATATATATATACTATATATATACCTATACTTTTAGGTATATATATATACTATATATACTATAATGTAGTATATTGTATATACTACAATATATATATACCTATATGTAATATATATCCTGCTATACTAGAGTCAAAGAAAAGGTTTTGCTGTTTCACTAGCAGTCATCTTAGTTGATCTTAAGAGAGTAAGCAATGTATTTTTCACAGCTGAAAATGGAAATCTCTAGTGCTAGAGCTACAAAGTCAAAATCTGTAGGCAGTTATAAAAACAGGCGTGATCTTTGAAGCAAATATGAAAGACTATAGCTCTAACAAGTTGAAGCATAGAACAACATGAAAACAAGTTTGGTAGATATTAAACGTGTGTGTAAAAAGAACATGACCCAAAGAACAAGACATTTACACAGAGAGGAAGACAAGTGTAATTATTCTTAGCTTTTCAATGCCAAACGTTAGGATTTGAGCTTCTGGAGTGAAATCTTGAAGCTTGTTTTAGATGCTTCAGGTCTCCATCTACAGTGTCTGAGAGACAAATTAATTTCTAGAAAAAAAAAAAAAAAAATAACGCTCGTGTGCCAGTAAATAAAAAAGGAAGTTACCAGTAATGGTCAGTAAAGGGCTCTCACCCTTGAGATGTCCATTTCTGCTTTGCATTCGCAAGCTAGACACATCTGCTTGTGTGCAGTACCTAAGCTATTCTCTTTACTTAATGCCTAAATTGTTTCCAGGACTGAAAAAAAGATCACTCTTTTCTATTGGAAAGACTCAGAAATGGAAGAATCTCTTTTACACAGCAGCCTTTGTAACAGACCATTCAACCATGATATGGGAAAACTAAGCTTCTGATCCTAACTGTGCCTGGGCAAACATTCTTATAGTTCTCTGACTTTCCTAGCATAGCAAAAATAAGGAAAGAGAGAGTCAGGAGGAACTGCTGCTGCTACAAATCAAAACAAAGTAAAGGTAGAGATAACAGAGAAGTGGTACTTGTGCGTGGCTCCCTTGCTTTAATCCCTCACAGAGAGCATGGATGCACAGAACAGCTATAAGGCTGGTGCACGCCTTCTGTGTGTGCTAAGACTGAAGCCTGATTAAACTTTAGGGTCACTTTAGGTATTTAACACCGCTACAATTTACTTAGTAAGCTATGGTCACTTATTTTATCTCAGCAAACCACTTGATGATTTTCTGTGGCAAGCTGGATAGGTCCCCAGTCTTTTTTCCTATGATATCTCTACAAAGTACCAGCAACCGAAGTATCAGTCAGAGAATCAGATTGACAAATGCTTTTCTTCACAGGAAACTTGGTTTACATATACATGAAATACAGCCTGAGATGATGGACATGGTGAGAGTCCCTCTCCATTCTGCATTTGTGAGGTGCCATCTGGTGAATTGCATCCAGGTTTGGGGACCCCAACACAGGAAAAGATGTGGATCTTTTGGAGAAGTTCCAGTGGAAGGCTATGAAGATAATCAGAGGGCTCGAATACCTCTCCTATGAAGACAGGCTGAGGGAGCAGGGCTTGTTCAAGAAGGCTGTAGGGAGGCCTTATTATAGCTTTCCAATATTTAAAAGGGAGATTATAAACGGGAAGGAAATCAACTTTTTGCATAGGTAGATAGTGATTGAACAAGGGAGAATGGTTTTAAACTAAAGAAGGGATTAGATGTCATGGGGAAATTTTTTTTTACAGAGTGGGTGGTGCTTACACAGGCTGCCCAGAGAGACTGTGGATGCCCTGTCTATGGAGGTGTTCAAGGCCAGTCTGGAGGCAGCCCTGGTCAATCTGAATTGGTACTTGATATAGTGGTTAGCAACCTTGCCTGTGGCAGGGGGCAATTGGAACCTGATGGTCCTTGAGGTCCTTTCTAACCCAAACCATTCTATGATTCTGTGACCCTATGATTTCTTTGTGAGTCTAGCCCAAGACTGCATAAAAAGTCTGCAGCAGTAGAGAACTGCATTGTTTTGTGTATGTTTTAAGCAAACCTTATCTTGATTTAATACAGAGACACTGGGTGATACATGGGAATTAATAAGAAACATCAAGCTGATTGTTTTAAGGACCGGACATGAAGAGGGCAAAAAACCCCCCAAAAACAACAAGGTAAACTCTAAATTCCTTTTACCATGTCAGTCTGAAATGTGAGCTGGAATCAGGGGTTGTTTAAAATATTAATGCTATAATATAAAGTGCCACATTCTTCCCTCTAGATGCCAGGGAATTGTACTGTACTGCCAGGGAACTGTATATTGAAAAATAGTAAATTACTCAAGAAGGGAATTAGTCTTTGGAAACAACTCACAAGCTGTTGCCATTATTTAGTATTTTCCTTGTTACGAGATACAAAGTAAGTATCTGTGGAGCATAGGAAATATCCTGCACTATTTCAGCATTAAAAATGTCAGTGTTTTAAATTATATTTGCATTTCTAAGAAAACCTGACTGGAGCATAATTATGCTTCAACTGAAATCTTTATCATTTGTGAAGAATGAGCTGCTGCAGCATCTGATGCATGGACTCAGATGTGAACGATCCAAATCGTTTATTACAATTTCTCACATCATTTATGTACCTTCACAAGTTTTCTTTTTCTAGCTTTCCCATCCACCCTACAACTTTCCCATCCATCTTTACATGTCAACAGAGCATTCTGCAAAACAATCTTCAACCGTTCACGCAGGCGCTTATCCAGTCAGAGCCGTGAGACATTCTTTCTTCTTCTAGAAGTGTCCTTGGTTCTCATGATGTTTAGTTTATTTTGCTCCACTGCTTCTGCTCT